GGGAAACTCTAAGCCCAGGGACAAGGGACAAGGCAGTCAGGGTAAAGAAATGAATCTGTTGGGGAAGAATGATCTGTGGGTGCGTGCATGTGTGTGTGTGTGTGTGAGAGAGAGAGAGAGAGAAATAATGATCATCATCCTTAGTATCATCACAGCCATCAGGAAAGAGAGGTAAGTATTCCTGGAAAACTAACAAAGTAAAGAGAAAAACTACAAACCCCACTTGACTGTGTTAAATAATAACACTCATTACAGTCATTTATTAGGACCATTTACCATTTGTGTCTAGTTACCAGGCAGCACAAAATATATGCATCGTTTACCGTGTGTCAGGTTAATCTTGTTATAAATTATATTGATATGAAAGGCAGTGTTGGGGGATAAACTGGGAAATTGACATATACAACTACTATATATAAAATATACATAACATATATGATATAAAGATACTCTGGGTCGGGAAGATCTCCTGGAGAACCTTCTCCAGTATTTTTTGCAAAAATATCTCCAGTATTTTTGCCTGGAGAATTCTGCAGACAGGGGCGCCTGGCGGTGTCCAGTCCATGGGGTTGCAAAGAGTCAGACACAATGGAGCGACTGTCACTCATACATAAAATAAATATCTAATAAGGGTCTATTGTGGGTTTCCCCTGGTGGCTCAGATGGGAAAAGAATTTGTCTGCAATGCAAGAGACCTGGGTTCGATCGGGGTTGGGAGGATCCCCTGGAGAAGGGAATGGCAACCCTTTCCAGTATTCTTGCCTGGGAAATCCCAAGGACAGAGAAGCCTGGCGGGCTACAGTCCACAGTATCGCAAAGAGTCAGACATGACTGAATGACTAACGCACACACACACACACACACACACACACACAGGGGCCTACTGTAGCACAGTTAACTCTGTAATCACTTACATGGGAAAAGAATCTAAAAAAGGAGCAGATCTACGCATATGGATAACTGATTCACTTTCTTGTACACTCGGAGCTAACACAACGTTGCAAATCAACTACACCCCAACAAACATTTTTTTAAAAGTCAGTGTTACGTAAGTAGGGTGGGTCATCTTCACTGCCACGCTGGCCAGTGGGGGCTACCCCGAGGGGCCTGCAGCCCCTCTGCTCAAGGCCTCCCCAAGATGCATCGGACGGCAATGCTCCCTAAGTTGGAGGGGGCAGCTGGCAACATAAACAGGAGTCTGATTTGGCTCACTGAGTTTTTCAATTGAATTTGAATTCTAAGCTTCCTTAGTTCTGACGGTCTTAGTCTGTCACATTATCCACGGTTTCTCCTCCCTTACTCCTGCCTGTCTGTGGTCTTTTTCCATCTGGGCTGGAACTTTCTTCCACGCAGCATAAGACGTTCCAGCGCAGACAGACTGTGTTTTCACAGAGGGAGTAAGAGCACTTATGGTTCCCAGAGTTCTTTCCATACATCTTCTCTTGCGGTGGGATAGCTTTCCATTTCAGGGACAGGGGCTGAGCCAGGGGTTATCCGCATTTCAGAAGAAGCCAAGAAAGTCTTAGGTTTGGCAGTCGGTCAGCAAGGAGCAGAGCGGGGGCTTCTCAGCCCTGGAGTCAGGGGGGAGCCCTTTTCCTTCTGCACTGTGCAGTCTTGACGTCAGGAAACACTTTCCATCCACGTCCAGTCCCCTGCCCAGGAGCTGGTGACCCTTTTTGGTTAGAGTGCACACCGATTCTGTCTTCCAAAAGCAGCCTTTGTGTCTTCTGCTCCCTCCCCTTGACAGACACGGGACACATCATTTTCCCTCAAGTGCAGTTTCGGGCTCTTTCTCACTCTGAAACGTATCTGCCTCTTTTTCTCTGTCGCTAAGTCATGTCTGACCCTTTGTGACACCATAGACAGCAGCACACCAGGCTTCCTTATCCCTCACTGTCTCCTGGAGTTTGCCCAAGTTCATGTCCATTGTACTGGTGATGCCATCCAACCATCTCATTCTCTGTGGTCCCCTTCTTCTCCTGCGTTCAATCTTTCCCAGCATCAGGGTCTTTTCCAATGAGTTAGCTCTTCACATCAGGTGGCCAAAGTACTGGAGCTTCAGCATCAGCATCAGTCCTTCCAATGAATATTCAGGGTTGATTTCCTTTAGGATGGACTGGTTTGACCTCCTCTCTGTCCAAGGGACTCTCTTAATATACAGCCTTTGATGGCCTTGCTGTACTCCTTTTTTCTCTGTCGAGAGAATATTTTCTTTCAAAGGTTGGAGCGGGGCGGCCAGGAAAGGTGGCACTAGTGGTAAAGAATCCACCTGCCAATGCAGGAGATGCAAGAGACATGGGTTCGATCCTTGCATCTGGAAGATCCCCTGGAGAAGAAAATGGCAATCCACTCCAGTATTCTTGCCTGGAGAATCCCTTGGACAGAGTAACCTGTTGGGCTACAGTCCATGGGATCACAAGGAGTTGGACACAAATAAAGCGACTTAACACGCATGGACACCTGGAAGCAGCCCCTGGTCGGACATTGAGAAGACTGTTCCAGACGCATGCTTCTCCTGCATGTGTCCTTCTTGGAAACCAGGGTTTGCTCAGGGCAATGCTGAGAAGAGGTGCTCTGGCTCTGGGCCAGTTGTGCTCAAGGTTCCATTCGTCCACACTCTTCAACTAGCTCCAAACGCCTGAGCGTGCTGTTCAAAACACTCCAGAATCAGATTCAAGGTACTTTCCAGTCTGAGATTCTGCTGACTTTCTGCCCCATGACCCTGGAACACACACACACACACACACACACACAATGTTCTAGCCTCACTGAACTGCTCACTGTCCCCAGATACCCTGGTACCAGGTGTGTGCATTTGCAGGTCTTCCTCTCTGCCCAGCCTCCCCTCCTTCACAAGTGACAGGCCGTTGTGTGGTTGTTGCAGAGTGTGGGATGTGTCCCTGGGCTGGAGTATGGGGTGTCTGGGGCTGCGGCAGTAAGGGACATTGACTAACATGGAGTTGCGTCATGGAAATTCAGTCCCCTCTCCACTCTGGCAGGCCAGTTAAGAAGACCAGTTAAGGTGCAGGACATGTTCATATCTTCCTTTGTAGCTCAGCTGGTAAAGAATCCACCTGCAATGGAGGAGACTGGGTTTGATTCCTGGGTCAGGAAGATCCCCTGGAGAAGGAAGTGGCAACACACTCCAGTATTCTTGCCTGGGAAATCCCATGGACAGAGGAGCCTGGTGGCCTACAGTCCGAGAGGTCACAAGAGTCGGACATGACTTAGCTACTAAAACACCACCACCATCTCCCTTTTTAATTAAAAAGAGTGCAGGGTTCAGTCAGAGACGTCATAGAAAATGGTTTCTAGCATAATTCAATAAGATCATTTTATTCCTATTACATGTGTGTGCATTTACTTTTGGTCACTATTCTGTACAGTTTTTATCTTTACCTGGATTATAATTGCTTTATACGGTTGTGTTGGTTTCTGCTGCGCCACAGCATGAATCAGCTACATGCATGTGTATATATCTATCCCTTTCTTGAGCCTTCCTCCAAACCTCCCCCCATCCCACCCCTCTAGGTCATCACAGAGTACGGGGCTGAGTGCCCAGTGCTATATAGCAGCTCGCCGTTAGCTATTTTACCCATGGTAGTATATATATGTCAAGGCTACTCTCTCAATTCGTCCCTCCCTCTCCTTCCACTACTGTGTCCCGAGTCCATTCTCTGCGTCTGTGCTTCTGTTCCCGCCCTGCAAATAGGATTGTCAGCACCACTTTTCTAGGTTTCATATATATATATATGCATTAACATATGGTGTTTGCTTTTCTCTATTTTTTATTATGGCAAGTGATTTTGATTCCCAATTAAGGACATGGTGTAAAGGGTCCTTTTAAATATTTAAATAAACACTTCAAATGTTTTCTAAATTATCAAAGAGTGGCCCAAGCTAATGAGCAATATTAAGTCAATAATGACCAGCACATAAAGATGACAACAGTCATAAGGAAGGCGCATACGGGAGTTAAGCTGGGAGGTGGATCAACGCTGTTACACTGGTGTGAATCCCAGCTCTGCTTCTTCTGGCTGGGTGATCTTATGCAAATACTTTCCCGTAAATGGAGGATAATAATGGTACCTTTCTCAAAGAATTAAATTAACATAATGAACTCAAAGCACTTAGCCCAGTCCTGGTGCACAGAAAATGCTCAATAAATACTAGATGCCATTTGCCAGCCTAGTTCAAATGCCACCTCTTCCACGAAGCTTTCACTGACTGCTTCAGTCAGAAGTTTTCTTCACTCCTGGCACTTTGCCTGATGGAATGTCACACATTCTTTATTGCACATGGTTGCAAGATTAGACTCTTTACGTATCTATATCCCATATAGGACCTAACACATACTAAAAGATTCTTGTGTCTCTGATTATAAAGGCATTCCCTTTTTGTCATGTGTTTGGTTTACAAAGGCTTGTACCAAGCTTTCTGGGATTTTCTAAAAGACCCTCTCTAATCTCAACATGCTGCTGAGTATCCAGAAAAAAAAACATAAAGATTCTAGGGCAAGAACAGAGGCTGCTTGTTGAATACCATTTACACCACTATCACACTCAGGTTACAGTCATAGAGGCCTGCCCATTCCCTTCTTCCGGAGCAAGAGAGAAAGACCCAAAGGCAGGAGAGGTAGAGGTTTCAGAGTCATGGATGGAGGGACACGAGGCATGAGAACAGAACTGCAGCCTTATCACGGATGGTAAGAGCGAACAGGGAAGATGCCAGCAGTGGACACGGGGACAGAACTCAGATGGGGACAACAGGTGCAGACTTGACCCCCTGGGCCTTCAGGATAAAGTGTCCTAAGTGAACCTGATGCAAACCTTTTGCGGAGGGCTGGACAATCACGCTCAGAGGAAAACAGCAATATGCTAACCTGATTCTAGGAAAGGGACAGGCCCACCTCCGTGATTTCACCACCTGGCTTAGGGCTGTTTGCTAAGGGCTGTGTCTAGGAAGAATACCCTTTGAACCATTTGTTCCCCCTTTTTCAGAAACTGCGCCAGACCCTCTTTGGAAATACCACCCAGGTCTTCAGCTCTGACTGGACAAAGGCCTATTTCCAGTTTCATGAGCCTTTTTCTGACCTGGCTTTTGCGTTGCAAGTGGGAAAGGTAAGCACGGGTGATCTCTTTTTTAATCCTATGCTCCCCGTGTTTCCTTCCAACCTCCTCCATATACATGCATGTTTTCATTATAATCAAATGTAGAAACATGTTTATAATTTAAAATGTAACCTTAAATGATAATGGACTTAGTGTGTTGAAAATTCTAACACACTATCAAGGATGTAATAAAGTCTCAAACTCCTCCCTACCCTCTTCCAAATTCTAGTTTTCCTGGCTCTTTTTTCAACGTCCTAAGCATCGCTAAGAATTTAGAGGTAGAGAGAGATCTAGGAATTTCTGACTTGTTTTAAAACCTCAATAATTCATATCATTGATTACTAGCCACACAGAATTTCAAGGGCTAGCCGACTAGTTCCTTCCTTCCTGCAAATCTCAAAGTTGAATGTGAGACAGGAGCATAGTGAAGGTAGGACAGAGGAAGACAGACAGCCCGGGTGCTGGTCTGTAACGCTCCACAGAGAAGCAAGTCATTGCAGATTCTAGTCTGGCCATGGCATCCGGCCACAGTCCATGGAGAGGTGTGCATTGTAGAGTGCAGTGGCGCTTTGCTAAGCCTAGGGATGCTGTGCGCCGGAGGGAAAAGGCTGCCAAGGAGAATAAATGATGACATCCATTTCCAAGAGTTCATTTTTATAAAGTGGGCCCTGAGGGTTCCAGCACCATTGTAAAGCCCTGCTCCTCACTATGCATCCACTCCCATTTCAGGGAGGTGTCCGAAGCATTCAGATGGCTGTACAAGGATCCATCATTCAATACCTGCTGTTTACAAGGAAGGGAAAAGACTGTAACTTCCTCAGGTAAGAGGCCTATGAGAAGGACTCAAAAAGAATTAACCATTTTATGAAAAACTTCATGGATTAAATAATCACCAGGGAAAAGCCCCTGGGTTGCCTCAGGAAGGAGACTTGACTCAGAAGGCAAAAACTGGGGACTTGCCTGGCAGTCCAGTGGTAAAGACTTTGCCTTCCAATGTGGGGGATCCTGGTTTGATCCCTGGAGAGACAGCTAAGATGCCACATGCCTCACAGTCAGAAAACCAGAACATAAAACAGGGGCAATATTGTAACAAATTCAATAAAGACTTTTTAAAAACAGTCCATATTAAAAAAAAAAATCTTAAAAAGTAAAAAAAGACAGAAATGGCCCAGGTTCTCCCAGAGGGGCTGGATTTCACAACTGGGGAGGGATCTCCCAGAGTCCCCCTCAATGTTCAGCTGCAGGAATGATGCTGAGAGTTTTTATGCTCCACCGCAGACCACCCTGACAGGTAAAATGAAGTGCCAGGTCTCCAGGTGGGCTCAACTGACAACACTTGATGGGAAGCCCCAACCTAAGGATTCCAGACAGAGGACAAAAGGGGCGATGAAGAGCCTCATAAACGGAGAATTCACCCTCCCACTTAGTCAGGCTGACATGCACAGTGTTTGGTGGCTGCCTGTTTTTGTTAAAAATTCAGTTCAAATGATTTTGTTCTTAGATGTTAACAAGCCTCTATCATGCGCAAGGCTATATGATTGCTATTAGGAGAAACCGAAATAATTAAAAGGCACCTACCTACCCTTGAGCAGGATAAGTTATCACCCAAAGCAGGAACTGAATATCTCATCTATCCTAAGAACATGAATTGCCAGGTTCCTTAGAAGCAGAGCCAAAGGTGGGAATTCTTTATGCAGGTGCTTTATTAAGGGAACGAATGTCCTCAGAAGAAACCCGTAAGAGAGCAGAGTAAAACCGGCTCAGGAAAGAAGTGGAGGAAGCAGGTGGTCGCCGGCGATGGCGAGGCTCCCCTGAGCCATCGGCACTCTCGGCGGTGGGGGGCGGTGGGGGGCGGTTGGGGGGCACTGCTCCATCTTCAGATAAGGGGGCGGGGCCTTTTCACCTCTCACCTCCACTTAGGCATCTACTATGTACCCTCCTAGGGGAAGGCGGCACAACTCCTAGTCACTTCCAGGGAAGGTGGCTCCAGGTCTTCAGAAAGTTTAGAACTACGAGCCACTAGCAGCAGTACCCAAAGCAATGGCAGGATGTATCCACCAGCTGAGTAAACGAGATCCCAAGCAGTCTAGGTGAAACACATACATTTGCTGCACCAACAGAACGCATTCAGCACAGTACCTGGTATTAAGCCAATGGTAGTGAATAACTGCTATTATCCACCATCCCCATGAAGCCTTCTTGAATGTTCCCAGGCACAAGTTCTTTCTCCGTCCTCTGCAGTTTCCCAGCACTTTGTTTTATTCTCATTCTACCTTGCACTGGGGTTTTGGAGTATGAGGCTCTTGTTACTCATTTCTCTATCATCATAGAGCTAGGTGGGTTTTATAAATCATGGCTGATTATGATTTTATAAATCATAATTCACTAACCTCTAGAATGTGTTTCTTCACTAGGACCACAGCTGTCAATGTTAAATATTTAGAAAATGAGCATAGCACAGGCCTCTGATGTAAAGCGTGGCTCTCATTTCCAGGGAAGTCGGACCCGCTGGGATTACTTGACAGGGCCCGTGGTTAAGGATAATCTGATGGTTAAGTCAGGAGGCACACTGCCTGCATTCAAGTCACTGCTCTGTGGCTGTGAAGGCGGAAGACGAGGGGCAGACTGCTCAAGCTCCCCGTCTTCCTTTCCTCACCTCTAAAACATGAGAAATAACAGTGCCCGCCTCACAGCTTGTTGAAAGGATTAAATGTGTTAGGTGCTTAGGACAATGCTGGACCCAGTGAGTGCCAGATGAGAGTAAATTACACGTCACTAAGGGCAACCTGCTGCTGCTAAGTCGCTTCAGTTGTGTCCGACTCTTCGCAACCCCATAGAGGCGGCCTCAAGTGACACATAGGATGTGATCAGGCAGAAAGCACAGACAGGACATGCATATGAAAGGCAGACAAGTGCATGAGAAAAAGCATAGAGGTGGAACATGGAAACAACATCCAGGGGACCGGTCCATCTGGGACAGAGGGTTTGCAAAATGGAAGTCTGGGAGATAAACCTGGGAGGACTGTTCGGGGTTGCACTTGGGAAGGGCCTGTGTCACGGGGTTAGAGAGTTTGGATGGAGACTGACTAGAGTTCGGGAGGGAGGACAGTGCGGGGGTTCAGTGGGGACCACAATGCACAGGGTGGAGAACCAAGAGGAATAGTGTGCTGGGATGACGATGCCCATCCCATGGGGGCAGAGAGGACGAGACCCCCCACCCCCCCACCCCACGACATTCTCAGAGTGCAGGCTGACGAGGAGCCAAACAGAGCCGTCCTGTACTCAGAAGGGCTCCTGAAAGCAGAGGCCCGGGCCCTCAGCTAGCTGATGCTCTTTGCCATGTGCTCCTCCCCTTCTCCTGTGCTGAAGCTTATGCAGAATAAGCAAGCACCATCAGGACCGCACGCTGGCGGCGGTGCTCGCGGGCATCCTGTGGGCCGCAGGAGCAGCTCAGAAGGTCACCCTCTGCCTCATTACCGAGGACACTTACGTCGTCCCGACGCCTAGCTACTCTGGGGACGGCTTCTCTGAACGGGTGAGTGCCCTCCTGCCCATCCCGCCAGGTAAGGGTGACAGAGCCTGGGTGAGGACCAGACTCCCCACAGCAATGGAGTTGGAAGCCCGCGGCTGCTCTGGGGCGGACCTCCACAATGTAAGCATCTGATGTGGCCAAAGAGGCAAGGATCAAGGCCATGCAGAGCCCAAGCAGCCAAGACAGAGATGCCTGCTGTGAGTTTCTCCTTCCAAAATTTACCATGATCAAGAATATTCCAGGGCCTTCCCGGGTGGTCCAGTGGTTAAGACTTGCCCTTCCAATGCAGGAGGTGTAGGAGCTAAGATTCCCACATGCCTCATGGCCAAAGAACCAAAACATAAACAGTATTACAACAAATTCAATAAAGACTTTAAAACAGTCCACATCAAAAATAAAAAAAAGTACATTCCCTACCTAACAGAAGAGCAGCAGATTCACAGAACACAGAGAGCAAAGCAGTGGTTATCAGTGGAAAGGGAAGCATGGAGGGGCAACGTAGGGTTTGGGAGTTAAGAGGTGAAGACTATTATGTATAAAATAAGCTATGTTGTATATTCCCCATACAACATGGGGACTATAGTCAATATTTTATAATAACTATAAATGAAATGTTACCATTAAAAATTGTGAATCACTAGATAGTACACTTGTAATTTATATAATACCATATATTAACTACAACAAAAACATTTTTAAAAAGAAAATCTCATGCCTGAAATGATCATAAACTATACTTTCATAACTAATCTTCTAAACTTGGCTAAATTCTACCTATTAGGGAAAAAAAAAGATGTGTTTATGGTTTTCCAGCTCAAGATACCATATTAGTTTAAAACAGAAGAATGCAAACATGAGGCCGGTGGCCATCCAATTTTACCATGTATGCTTTACATGACCTTAGGTGAGATAACACGTCAGTTCTTAGAACAGTGATTTTGCAATGAAACAAAGAACTCCCTTGAGGTAATAACAGTGCGTTGACATCTTCTAGATGTGACTTTCATCTTCCTTTTCATTTTTATCTTCTATTTCTGACTTATAGCTCCAGCTGTTTGAACTTTCAGACAAAGAAGCCACTGAGAAATTCATCTGTGATCATTTACAATGTGTAAGTGCTTAAGCATCGTAATTCCTTTATGTTGAACTGATCTTACAGGAATTTTCTTCCTTTTATAAAGTATATTTCTAATGATGCTTGTTAAGAAAACCAGGTCATTTTGAGGACTAAGAGAGGGCGGAATGAGAGAAAGAGAAGCCCGTCTCTCCCTCCCCGCAATCTAGAGAGAGGCCAGATCACACACAGGCCTGCTCACAAATGCCTCTTTCTCCTTGACTAATCAAACCCAGAGAATACTACTACAGAGGGCATATACAGCAAGATGGCTTTTATGGGAAGAGAAAATTTTACAGCAGTCTTGCCTCCTCTGGGGGATAAAACATAAAAATGGTAGCCTAAATTGCCAAAATGACCATTCACATTGGCTCAAAAAAATGACTTTCCGTCTGCAAAAGGTGCCCCCCCCCACCTGTTCTAACAGCCCCTTCTACACAATGCCCTCCCCTGCAATGAATCTTCCCCACCCCCTGGGTAGGCAGGACACAAAGCAGGAGAGTGATGGGTGAAAATGGAAGGTGCTTTTGCAAGATTCCTCTGCAGAGAAAGAAAGGAAAGCTGGTTTTCCAGAGAACCAGAACCTTACAATGTAGCAGGGTAACTATAAATCCATGTGTATGTGGCTTGTATGGAAAGAGGAAATGTGATTCATGAAGCTCAGAGCTCCATGCCTTTCAAAGGTCACAGGGATGGAAAACTTGAGCATGAGTTCTCAAACACACACTAGCAATAAATAAACTAGTTTATTTAGTTTAATAAACTAGTTTAGGATAAACTAGTTACCCCAGACCTACCTCCTCCATCAGCTCTTGGGTCTATGTGGTAGGCAGAAGAATCGTCTCCTGAAAGATGTCTATACCCTACCACCTGGAACCCCTGACCGCTTCATTACATGGTAAAGGGGAGTTAAGGTTGCTCATCAGCTAACTTTAAAATAGGGAGATTATCCTGGATTACATGGGTGGGTCCAGTGTAATTACAAGGGCCCTTATATGTGGGTGAGGAAGGCAGAAGAGAGGGGAAGCGTGGTGTGATATGAAACTTGCTGCTTTGAAACTGGAGGCCATGAAACAAGGAATGTGGACAGGCTGCTGCAAGAAAGGGCAAGGAAACAGATTCTCCTCTAGAGGCTCCAGAAGGAATACAGGGCTGATGACAATTTTTTTTTTTTTTCTTCACTTGGGTATAGTTGTTTTGGGCTTCCCAGGTGGTGCAGAAGTAAAGAACGTTCCTGCCAATGCAGGAGATGTGGGTGCTATCCTTGGGTCAGAAGACTCACTGGAGGAGGAAAGGGCAACCCACTCCAGTATTCTTCCCTGGGAAATCCCATGGACATGTAGCCTGGAGGGGTCGCAAAGAGTCAGACACGACTGAGTACACACACGCACACACATAGTTTCTTTACAATGTCGTGTTAGTTTCTACTAGAGCTGCTGCTATCTCAATTTTAGACCAGTAAGTCCCATTTCAGAATTCTGACCTCCAGAACTATAAGATAATAAAATAAATCTGTATTGTTGAAGCTACAAATTTATGGTAATTTGTTCCAACAGCAATATGAAAGCAATCAAAGCTGTGCGATAGATTTTAAACTCTCTGACATGAAATGTTAGGCTAGAAGCCTGCTTAGGGACCCTCCGTTGCAGAGGGAGATGTTTAAGGGGGCTACACAGAGAGGAACATGTACGAAATTACTCTCCTGGCCAACAGAGGCAACCCTTCCCTCTCTACCTTCCATCTCCTCAACTCAGCCCTGAGAGAGTCTGACTCAATAAGGTCTTCCACATCTGCAAGGGTTTCTTAAGCGAGGCCAGCGCTGACAACTGGGAAATCAGAGCGAGAGCTATATAGAGGCTTTCCCCTCAAAGGCTAGGGGTTGAGCTGGAATAAGTAATAAACAGAAATGGAATCAGACCGCACGGCGCGGGTGGGTTCCGCACAAGAGTTACCTGTGTCAAGCAGACTCAAGCTGACCACGACTGTAGCCACGCTAGGGAAGGGCCAGCACCATTTCCTGGATCATGGGGGATCTTGCTGCATAGACACTGCTCTCAAGGGCACTCCCAGACCAGGGGCTCCCTCTGTGATCAGCCTCCATCCAGACCTCCATCCAATGTCATTACTACCAAAGAACAACAGCTCTGGAGGGGGCGAGGAGTGGGAGATTGGGATGACACATAAACACACTGCTATGATGGACTGAATAGACGACCAATAAGGACGTGCTGTGGGGCCCAGGGAACTCTGCTCAGCGCTCTTTGGTGAGCTGAACGGGGAGGATATCCAAAAGGGAGGGCATATATGTATATGTACGGCCGATTCCTCTTGCTGCACGCTAGAAACTTAGTGCAACCTTGTAAAGCAACTACACACCAATAAAAATTAATTTAAAAAAAATTAAAAAAAAAAAAGCATCTCTGTGCCTATCTTGAGGCAGGGAACACAAGCTGGAGAATTAAGGGCTACACATGGGAGCAGGCCTACTGTTATGATGGGCTGCATCACCTCCCCACACCCCCACCACCGCCAAAAAGTGTGTGTGCCCCCCAGCTGCGAATGTGTTCTTACTTGGATAGAGGGTCTTTGCAGATGTCACCAAGTTAACATCAGGTCATGCTGGATGAGGGTGGGCCTCAATCCAATGACTTCTATCTTTATAAGAAAAGAGAAATTTGGTCATAAACCGTGACACATGCAGGGAAAACATCATGCAATAATGGAGACTGGAGTGATACATCTCCCAAACCAAGGATGCCAGGACTGCCAGCAGCCACAAGAAGCTAGGAAGATACCAGGAAGGTTCCTTCTCTGGGGCCTTCAGAGAGAGCATGGCCCTCCTCTGACACCTTGATTTCAGACTTATAGCTTCCGGAACTGTGAAAGTATCAACTTCTGTTGTTTCAAGCCTTTCGAATTTCTGGCCGCTTGTAGGGCAGTTCTAGGAAACTCATACATCTACCACATAAGATGGGCAGTGTCAATTCACCTGGTGTTGCATTTTTAAAAATTTGAGTCAGTAAACTTCAAAAAGAATCAGAAAATGCCATGTTAAAACCTAAAGGTTTAGATCCTTCTGGCCAAATCAGAAAATCTGGCTGCACTAGACCTACATTCTATCTAGCATGCCCTCCATTAGCTGATATTGGGAGCAATGACTCCCATTAAACAAGTCGTGATAGACTGAATGATGCTACCTAACTGGTCAAAAGGAACTGCAGATGAGATTAAGGTCTCAGATGGGAAAATTATTCTGAATTTCTCTGGTGGATCTGATTAGTCACAATGGTTTTAAAACAGAAAGAGGATGGCAGGAGAGTCAGAAATTAAGGATGTAATGAGAGAGGCAGAAGAGAAGAAGCTATGCAACGTGGGGTCACAAGCCAAGGGGTTAAGACTGCTACTAGAAGCTGGAAAACGCTGGGAGACACCACTTCCCATAAAGACTCCAGAAGGAGCGTGGGCTGACCAGCAGTCAGGGTCGAGTCCACAGATACCAGGGCTGGACAGCTAGCCTTGAGAGCCCTGAGATGATGGATTCCCATTATTTTAAGCCGGTCATCTGTTAAGACAGCAGCAGGAAGCTGACCCAAGGGTGCTTTCCTGTGCCTCAGGCTCCACCTCTCCCCTTTTCTCCCACGCCCTGCGGTACAGCCGTTTGGGTTCCCATCCAGCTCCGCTGGCACTGAAATTGGTTCTCCTGCATGAGATTCCAGCCCTTGTTAGCACACAGACAGTGAAGCACAGATTAACTCACAAAAGGGAAAGCATATGCACTTTCGCAGACACCTTCCCGACACTATGCCCTTAAAGAAAAGGCTTTTACCCTGGGCACTTTGAAAGTCAGCCAAGGAGCTTCTTCTCGTCAGCAGGTAGAGTACTGACACAGGCCAAGAGAAGGCCAGCCAGCGGGAGGCCCTGAATGTGGGTGGGTCATATCCTGGAGCTCGCAGGGCACCTTCGGAAAGTTCAGAGCAGAAAAGTACCCTGGCCAGGAAGAGAGACAGGGAGGAGTCCCTTAGACAGGGGCAGATAGTAATTTTTCTGTGGTCCTATTAATAGCATGCTCTAAGAACCAAGGTGAGCAGTGCAAAAAAATAGAGGGAAACAACAGAATGGGAAAGACTAGAGATCTCTTCAAGAGAGTTAGATACACCAAGGGAATACTTCATGCAAGGATGGGCTCAATAAAGGACAGAAATGGTATGGACCTAACAGAAGCAGAAGATATTAAGAAGAGGTGGCAAGAATACACAGAAGAACTATCCAAAAAAAGATCTTAATGACGCAGATAATCACAATCGTGTGATCACTCATCCAGAGTCAGATATCCTAGAGTGCAAAGTCAAGTGGGCCTTAGGAAGCATCACTACAAACAAAGCTAGTGGAGGTGATGGAATTCCAGCTGAGCTATTTCAAATCCTAAAAGAAGATACTGTTAAAGTGCTACACTCAATATGCCAGCAAATTTGGAAAACTCGGCAGTGACCAAAGGGCTGGGAAAGGTCAGTTTTCATTCCAATCCCAAAGAGGGACAATGCCAAAGAATGCTCAAACTGCCACACAGTTGCACTCATCTCACACGCTAGCAAGGTAGTGCTCAACATCCTCCAAGCTAGCCTTCAACCGTACATGAATTGAGAACTTCCAGATGTTCAAGCTGGATTTAGAAAAGGCAGAGGAACCAGAGATCAAATTGTCAACATCTATTGGATCATAGAAAAACCATGAGAACTGTAGAAAAACATCTAACTTGTGCTTCATTTGCTATGCTAAAACCTTTGACTGTGTGGATTGCCACAAGCTGTGGAAAATTCTTAGGGAGATAGGAATACCAGACCACCTTACCTGCCTCCTGAGAAATCTGTATGCAGGTCAAGAAGCTACAGTTAGAACTGGACATGGAACAGTGGACTAGTTCAAAATTGAGAAAGGAGTACGTCAGGGCTGTATATTGTCACCCTGCTAATTTAACTTATACACAGAGTATATCATGCGAGACACCAGGCTGGATGAGCAAAAGCTGGAATCAGGATTATCAGGAGAAATATCAATAACCTCAGATATGCAGGTGACACTACCCTTATGGCAGAAAGCAACGAAGAACTAAAGAGACTCTTGATAAAGGTGAAAGAGGAGAGTGAAAAAACTGGCTTTAAACTCAACATTCAAAAAACAAATATCATGGCATCCAGTCTTATCACTTCATGGCAAATAGATGGGGAAACAATGGAAACAGTGAGAGACTTTATTTTCTTGGTCTCCAAAATCACTGCAGATGGTGACTGCAGCCATGAAATCAAAAGACACTTGCTCCTTGGAAGAAAAGCTATAATCAACCTAGACAGCATATTAAAAAGCAGAGACATTCTGTCTCTGGTGTTAAAAAGCAGAAACAGTCCATCTAGTCCAAGCTACAGTTATTCTAGTAGTCACGTATGGATGTGACAGTTGGGTCTATAAACAAAGTTGAGCACCAAAGAATTGACACTTTTGAACTGTGGTGTTGGAGAAGACTCTTGAGAGTCCCTTGGACTGCAAGGAGACCCAAACAGTCCATCCTAAAGGAAATCAGTCCTGAATATTCATTGGAAGGACTGATGCTGAAGTTGAAGCTCCAAAGGTTGGCCACCTGATGCGAAGAGCTGATTCATTGGAAAAGACTCTAATGCTGGGCAAGATTGAAGGCAGAAGAAGGGGACAACAGAGGATGAGATGGTTGGATAGCATCACTGACTCATTAGAGTTTGAGCAAACTCTGGGAGATAGTAAAGGATAGGGAATCCTGGCATGCCACAGTCCATGGGGTCACAAAGAGTAGGACGTGACTCAGTGACTAAACAATGACCAAAAAAAAAACAAAAAACAAAACCAAGGTAGGCACTATACATTATTTCCTTCAACTTTTGCAACAATCCTAGGGAAAAGGTATTTATATCTGCAATTACAGATGATATTGAAATGCAAATAAATGAGCTGGAGTTAGTATAATAGAACTGGTTTTGAACTCGGGTTTCTGTAACCCCAAAACTATTTCTAGCAAACATCTCTGCTCTCCCTGAGTTTAACAGGGTAATGAGGAGGAATGCAGTGACTGAGGGAGGCTAGGTAAAGGGAATCCAGAGCCACTCTGAAGGGCTTGGCTAGGATGGATGCTGGAAAAATGGAGAGGGAAAATACACCACGTCTTAGCCATGAGTCAAAGAGAGTCACGTGATACAAGTGGAGGAAAGAAAGATGGGTTGAAAACTAAGAGAATGCCGGTGCCACTGGCAGGCCTGAAGCAAGGCGAGAGGATGCATTTCAGAGTGGAGATGACCTAGGGAAGCAGAGTGAGCTTCCACTGTCCTTTCGTCAGCTAGAAAAAATCCCTCAGGCTGTAAATCCTCGAATTTGTGCCCACAGGCACACAGAGACGCACTGCATTTAGGCAAACCTGTTTTTCCTTTTTTTTCCAAACAGTTCAAAGGAGAAGGAAGCCATGGCGTCATCTTGTTCCTTTACAGCCTGATCTTCTCCAGAACATTTGAAAGGTAAATGCTACAAATATTTGCATAGGTATTCCCTATAGCTCTGGGGTCACACGAACAACGTTCTCCTGTGTTGCAAAGTATTTTTGTGCCTTATGGAAACATGAGAGTGATTTTTTTTTCTAGTAGACACTCTTCTGTTGCTGCATCCTTTTCTGTAGTGGGTTTGGCCATATTCATGGGAGAGTGGATGTCATCAGAAAAGTGCGAATCTCCTTTTCTAGCACTGTGGGAGGTTCCTTCTTGTGGTTGTAAATATTGGCAGATATCACTCAGGCTTATTTGTACAACTTTCATAAATGAAAATAATTCATGATTTCTATATACAATAAAATATATACCCACAAACATTTATTTTGTCCCCATTAAATGCAAAGTACTGTTTGGCACTGTGGGATATATACAAATAAAACAGGATATGGCCCTGATCCCCTCACAGGCTCTAGTTTGGCAAAAACCAGATATGCCCATACAGAGACTGGGAAAGTCCCAGATGGTACTTGGTACGTCAGATGACATGCAAAGACAATGCCTCTTAAGGGATGCCAGAGGAGGAAGCGGCCCCAACAGATAGCGCAGTCAAGGAAGGCGTCTTGCAAGAAGCAGACCTTCTTCTGGACCCTGAAAAAAGCATAAGCTTTTGCAAATCAAAGAGAGAAATACAGGGCTTCCAGAAACGAAAAATTTCAAACCTTGAAGCAGTGTTCCTGAAACTTGTCATTTGCATATCATACTTTTATGATATATAATTATTTGCTTAAAAATTTCCTTAAATCAACACACATTTGGGATTTCCCTGGCAGTCCAGTGGTTAAGATTGTGATTCCACTGCACGGGGCAAGTGTTCTATCTCTGATGAGAGAACTAAGATCCCACATGCTCCATGGCACAGACAAAAAAATAAAAGAAGAAAAATTCAAAATCAATACGCATTTAAATATCCTCTTCTTAAATTTAATATCCTTTAAATATTAATATATTAACATATATGATCTAAATCATTTATTTGCTGTGCTAAAGAAAAAATGTATTAAACACATAAATATGGAACTTTTTAAATGCTCACGTCTATATCAACTAACATCAAGCCATACTTTAGGAAACACTGCCCTGAATTATATCTGATGCTTCACCCATGTCTTTAGGTCTGATTCACAGAAGCGCCTGACCTTCCAACCCTGTGACTAGGTTCATCCAAGAACACATACAGCTCACATACTCAGCATCTCCCTCTGGGTTACAGCTGAAGCCACTTTCTACCGTGGTATTACATTGCCCTGGATAGAATCCTGAACCCTGGTCCCCAATGAAGCAGTGGAAACTGCAACCAAGAAACGGGCTTAATGCCAAGCTGGTGTTTTCCCCTTAAACAGTCTGCTCAGCTCTGCCTTGGGCCAGCACTCTCTGGAGTGGTCAAAAGTCACCACCCTAAGCCAAGCATCCCTTGGGACTCAGAGCAAACAGTTTCTCTGCTGAGTCCAGCATCCCTACAGAGCCCACACTGAAGGACTGTCACATGTGAGGTCCACCACTTCTTCCTTCTCCCTCATCGCTTCTCACTGGCTGCCCCCAATGGCATCAGAACTTCCCCAATCATCTCCACGGCCCCAGTCCTAGAAGCTTTCCAGGGTTCAGATGGAGACACACCGGGCACATGGGAAGGAAGTGACCAGGCGAGCTCATGTTAGAGCTGCCCGGTGCTGGGGGTGAAGGCAGGGAAGGCTGTGGGTCCCGGAAGCAGTCACGGGCCCTGAGTGCTGATGGTCCCTCCCATTCCACAGGCTCCAGAAGGAGCTGGGCGTCTCCACCACTCCCCTGCTGCAACCACACGCTGGAGGCTTCCTGTGCAGGCAGGTGGGTTGGGGGACTACCTTTTTGTTGTAGAATCTGAATAAGGCTTTTATTTTTTCAATTAAGTATATTTTCTCCATAAGTGAAGGGTGATAAAATTATCTTTGAAATACTAAGATGTCCCCCCCTTTTTATTTTTAACTTTTCCACTTTCCATTACTGTCCTTTCTAATTTACCTCTGAGAGTCTGCCACTCCTGAGAGTCTAGAAATGTTAGAAAATATCTTGACAAGACCGTGCCCCCCAGGAATCCCTCATAACTGAAAGGAAGGCACTATAAAAATATCTTAGTTTCATGCATCTTAAATCACAATTATAGAAACCAAAGTTTAAGAAAATATTAAGGGCCCATGGGGAGTTATGGGGCATGGCTCAAGAAAAAAATTAATAAAGTCCTATTTTAACTCTACCAAACATTTATACCATATGTTTTTCCAGAATTATATACTGTGGGATTTCATTCTTTTCACTAAAAATGGTCATCTTTGTGACTATTAAAATAAAAAAAAATTAAGTCCCTGTATCAAGGTTATCTTTACACACATTTGTAAAATATGTCACCTAGGCTGTTCTGAACCTGATTCTAACTGGAAGAGCAAGTCCACACGTCTTTAACGGCTGTCAGAAAGGAAAGTCTCAAGAAATATTACATGGGGTCCTGACCCGCAGTGATGTCGGCTATCTGCAGTGGGGTAAGGACACTTCAGAGGGCGACAGACTTTCACAGGTAAGCGTGTCCCAGTTCTCAGCCACACTGCCAGTGTCACTATTTGGACATTTTATTACATCTCTAGATCGCATGTGTCTGTACTCGGCTGAGTCCAATTCTTTGAAACCCCAGGGGCTGTAACCTGTCAAGCTCCTCTGTCCATGGGATTCTCCAGGCAAGAATACTGGAGTGGGCTGCCATTTTCTCCTCCAGGGGATCTTCCCGACCCAGGGATCGAACCCACATCTCCTGCATCTCCTGTACCAGCAGGTGGATTCTTTACCACGAGCTCCATCTGGGAAGTCCTAATTCAAATCTGAGCTTACTTTTTCCTCTACTACTTTACTGCATGCTTGTAAATTTTTCAGGGTCTAGCTGGAAATATAGAAGTCTTGCTTTATATTTTGCTTTATCAATTTTTATGTATATAGAGTATAGGTGATACAAGTCATATGCAAATCACTTTTTAAAACAATACTTGAGGTATACAAATAAAGGCCCCTAGCATCCCCACTCAACAGAAATTGATACTGTCAGCTGACAATGAGTATCTTCCCAACCCTTTATTTATGCAAATATGAATGCATATATTGTTATCTAATACTCAGAGCTTTAAAAATCACTGGAAAAAAGGGAACCTCGTTTATGAAATGCCTCTCAAAGCATTTTCCAGCTCCGAGGATTTATAACCTCTGACAACCAGAATGTAGACTGTGCTGTTGAAAAGTACAACCAGAGAATTAAGTAAGATGTGATTCTGCAAAAACAACCAGCAGAGAGAGTGAGGAAGCTAGTATACCCACCCAAACCACAAATCAAAGATGCTTCTGTGACGTTTTCACAAAAAGTTCATCCTAAAACCTAAGGAAGGCAAGGCGGTCCTGTGAGAAGCAACGCTTCTCTGGAGCAGTCCTGAAACCAGCTGGGATGGAATTCAGTGTGATGGTGACAAAGCCTCCCAGGTTCACCGTCTATCAGCGCCAAAGAGCCCCACTGCTCAGAGCCTGTGCTGTCCCTCGCTCTGCTGGTTCAGGCTCAAAGTCCCTTTCCCTCGCACAGGGCCTTACACGCTATAAGGTCCTCTTATATCTATCGCTTCATCTGCCTTTCCTCCTACTGTTGGGTCCAGCTACAACGTGTTATTCCTGAAATCGGCACATCACAACACACACAAATCATGTCTGACGGTGTTGGGAATGTGGCATCTGACTATCACAGAATGACTGTATCTTTTGCATAAGCGTGTCTTCAAAGTTCACTAAGTATTCCTTGAGTTTGAAATCTAGTCCATCATAGAAAAATGGCAACAGAAACTAACATAACATTGTAAATCAACTACACTTCAGTTTGAAAAAAGAAAAAATGAGAAGTGACAGATAAGCTAAAAGTAAAACAAATGAACCCAATCCATCACCCAGGGTCAATTCTCTCAGAAATGTTTCCTTCTCTTTTGCATATAAATAAGTCCTATTCTACTTCTTCAGAACCCTGTCTTTCTCATGTAATACAAATGTCCTTATATGTCAATGAATATGTGTCCTTCATCATATTTAATGGATGCAAACATTTCCACTATATGAAGCTGAAAAACTGTACTTTGAATATGTCCTAAGGAGAGAATGGATCTGTTATCACTATAAAGTTCCTAATTGCTTGTCCCTGATAATTTGGGAATTCATCTTAGAATTTGATGTATATAATAACAAGGAAAACTAAGCCAAAAATAGGGGACTTACAGATTTCATTATACATAGTTTTCTTTCAACTGCACAGGGTCACTTAATGTCCTTGGTTAAGCACCTTGTATCTATTAGAACCCAGTAACAGGCCAAGACTCAGTCTGGTAGGCTACAGTACGGGCAACTTTCAAGGAGTGAGGTACAAAAACCACAGCTTTAGTGCTTTGTCTATTATTACAAAGTCCTTTCACAATATTATTTCACCATACCCTCATTACAAACTACAAAGATTTAAACCAGTGTTTCTCATAGTTCTGTCATCTGAGTAGGTAATTCACAAGCTTTGTCATATCTTCACACCACCTCTGTTATTATTTGCTTAATATTTTCCTTTAAATGAACTCACTCTTAAAATTTGAATCTAACCTTTGCTATAGGGGGCTTCCCTGGTAGCTCAGCTGGTAAAGAATCTTCCTGCAATGAGGGAGACCTGGGTTCGATCCCTGGGTTGGAAAGATCCCCTGGAGAAGGGAAAGGCTACCCACTCCAGTATTCTGGCCTGGAGAATTCCATGGGGTGCAAAGAGTCGGACACGACTGAGTGACTTTCACATACATACATCCATTTTCTATGACAGTAATATAAGCAATGAACTTGATACACTATTTCTTTCTAACACATATTAAATAAATAGGTAACCAGTTTTAGGTCAGTTAAAGCAGTTGTTGGAGAAGACTCTTGAGAGTCCCTTAGACTGCAAGGAGATCAAACCAGTCCATCCTAAAGGAAGTCCTGAATATTCATTGGAAGGACTGATGTTGAAGCTGAAACTCAAATACTTTGGCCACCTGATGTGAAGAGATGACTCATTTGAAAAGACCCTGATGCTGGTAAAGATTGAAGGCGGGAGGAGAAGGGGATGACAGAGGATGAGATGGTTGGATGGCATCACCGACTCAATGGGCATGAGTTTGAGTAAACTCTGGGAGTTGGTGATGGACAGGGAGGCCTGGCGCGCTGCAGTCCATGGGGTCGCAGAGAGTCAGACACGACTGAGTGACTGAACTAAACTGAAAGCAGTTTTAGGTTTACAGCAAAATTGAGTGGAAAGCACAAAGGTTTTCACATATTCCCTGTCCTTACATGCGCATGGCTTCCACATTATCAGTATCCTCCACCAGAGCGGTACATTTGTTACAGTTGATGAACCTACACTGACATAAACTAAGTCCACAGTTTATGTTATGGTTCACTCTTGGTGTTTGCACTCTATGGGTTTGGACAAATGCATAATGACATGTATTCACCATTATAGCATCATACAGAGTAGCTTCACTGCCCTAAAAATCCTCTGTGCTCTGCCAAGTCAACCCTGCATCTCCCTCAATGATGGATCTTTTTATTGTCTTCATAGTTCTGCCTTTTCCAGAGTGTTATTAATATATAGTTGGAATCACAGTATGTAGCCTTTTTGGATTGGCTTCTTTCACTTAATAATATGCCTTTACATTTTCTCCATATATTATCACAGCTTGATATCTCATTTCTTTATAGCACTGGATAATATTTCATTGGAATATTGTCAATAATATTTCTGTGAACAAATATTATTCCACTGAAATATCATGGTTTATATAGCCACTCACTTGTAAAAGATATCTTGGTCGCGTCCACATTTTGGCGATCGCGAATAACGTCGCAATAAACATCCCTGTGCAGGTTTCTCTGTGGACATGAGTTTTCAGCTCCTTTGGGTAAATATCAAGGGGGGGGGGCAATTGCTGGATCACATGGTAAGAGTATGTTTAGTTTTATAAGCAGCTGCCAAACTGCCTTCCACAGTGGCTGTTCCCTTTTACATTCCCACCAGCAATGGATGAGAGGTCCTGCTGCTCTGCATCCTCGTCCGCATGTAGTGTTGTCCGTGTTCTGGATTTCAGCCACTCTAATAGGTATCACATTGTTTGTTTACTTGCATTGCCCTGGTAAGAAACATATGCGTATTTGCCATCTGTCTATTGTCTTTGGTGAGGGGTCTGTTACTCTTAGGGAGCATCTAAAGTTATCAGTGCTCAGGTCACCCTCCGGAACAGGGTCAGCTATACGTGTGCAGGACCCGTGTGAACACACAGCCCCACACTTGAAGAGTTATCAGTGCTCAGGTCACCCTCCGGAACAGGGTCAGCTATATGTGCAGGACCTGTGTGAACACACAAGTTATATGTGTGCAGGACCCGTGTGAACACACATGTTATACGTGTGTAGGACCCGTGTGAACACACAAGTTATACGTGTGTAGGACCTGCGTGAACACACAGCCCCACACTGAGAAGGCTCTGCTGTCTCTGCCTTAAAATTCTTCACATTTTTTGAACAATAGCCGCCAGTCCTTCATTTTGTACTGGACCCCACAAATGGCACAGCTGGTCCTACCCAATGACTGGTTTATCTGGCCTGGAGACCATCTGGTAACCGAGGTTTTTAATCCCTCAGGTGCATCCAGAGTTAGAAATCTCTGTTCTAGAGAAAGGCTTCTTAACCTCAGCACGACTAATACTTTGGAATGGACGATTCTTTGTGGTGGGGGCTGTCCTGTGCATTATGGGCTATTCAGCAGCATCCTGGCTTTTACCCACTAAATCCCAGTAATACTGCCCCACCCCATGTGATAACCAAAAATATCTCCAGATGTTGCCAAACGTCCCCCAGAGGACAAAACTGTCCCAACTGAACCACTGCTCTAAAACAGGTGTGTGTGGGGGGGGAGAATTTCATCAGGTTTAACTGATTATATCCATAGTATACAGAATTAGAGAACTATTATTTCAAATGAAATTACAAGAAAGAGTATCTTCTTTCAATACTGATATCTCCTTCAAGTATGAGAAATGTTAACAGCTTTCCATTCCTTTTCACCAAGGTGTTAGGGGCAAGTTTCAAACCTTAAAATTAAACAGGTATTTGCTAATAGCAACTAAGCTGCTCTGAGAAAAGGGACTATACCAAAGGCTATGCACCCCGGCCCCAAAGAAAGTGAGATTGAGAGAAAAGGAAAGAGACCTTCAGAGAAGCAAGAATTCACAGCAATCCACTGCTACCATTTGTCTTGGATCGCATATCTCTCAATACAAGTCAGCTCTGACCAACAGCACTGCTAAGTCATACTCTAAAGAAAATTACCTGCAGAGCCTAAAATATCCTCCAGTAATAAATAGATGTTTGTGGGGACCTTAAATTCCATCAAGAGGCCAAGGTCTAAGGTTAAAAAAAAAAAAAACAAACATAAACACTTTCTTGCTGGGAAGAGGGCAAAATGTAGCCAACCTCAGGACCACCGTC